AATATTCAATGTCAATACTGTTGCCATCACTATCATCACCTCATTTATCATTAGTACGATACATAAGCCGACGAAATGAACTGTCGACGAAATAATTTTCGACGAAATGAACTTTCGGCGAAATAAACTTTCGGCAAAATGAACTTTCGGCAAAATGAACTTTCGGCAAAATGAACTTTCGACGAAATGAACTTTCGACGAAATGATTGTCGACGAAGTGATTGTCGACGAAGTGATTGTCGACGAAGTGATTGTCTACGAAGTGATTGTCGACGAAATGAGTGTCGACGAAATGATTGTCGACGAAATGATTGTCGACGAAATAATTTTCGACGAAGTAAACGGGACCGCATTTGAACCGAGTCATAATTAGGAGTCTCTACATCTATATCCATCAATCCATTTGAATACAGTGCTCCATTTAGTAGTCTTTTAACTTTATTGATTTGTTTCCAATAACTGAAAGTAAACATGTACACAGGACTCAGAAATTAATGTTGAATTTTTCCCACCGCTCACAATAAACTTTTTCTTCAGGATTGATCATCAAATTCCAAAATTTATATTATAAATTGATTGCTTAACCACTTTGCATTGGTTTCCTCTAAATGTGGAATAATCAATCATCATGTATGAAATAGGATTCTCAGTACTGATTGATCTTCCCCGCTAATCTTTGCATCAAAATCTGAAGCTGCTAGACCATTTCCATACGTAATGTTCATTCTATATTTTTCCGTCTTTTGATTATTGAGCCTTTCAAGGACTATCTTGCCAATCTCCTGCAAAGATCTACTTTTTTACAAATGCAATTGGATGTAGACTGCAACTATTTTCTTAATTGAAACAGTGCTCCAAACGTTTTAAACCCATTATTATTAGCTATGCCATGTTAAAACTGTGGATTTTCCCAATCAACAACATTCATAAATAATAATAATGTAATATATAGAAAATAAAAAGGTCACCATTATCATGTATTTCCAATTAAATGCAATAAAGTCTTTTTAAAAAACACAACATAGTTTCTTTTGAAAAAAAAAAAATTTTTTTGCCTTTTGGAAATAAACATCCTCAGTTCCCATATGTAATTTTTTATTTTTTATTTTTCCCCGTTGTTAATTATAAAAAAAAAAAAATTGGTATAAACAAAAAAAGTCCACTACAATAAAAATTCGAAAGCTTAGTCACGACGTTGGGTGTAGTGTCAATAATTTCTAATACTAATTGCACGATGAAATTTGGACGAGTTAGGTCAAAACTGATATTTTTTTTTTTTTTTTGCAAAATAAAATGTTTAATTTTAATATTTATATCAATTATTTTTTATTTGTATATTAATAGATTTAATTTAATTTAGATTAATAAATTTTAACATTATTCAAGTTTATCATTTTTTTGCTACCATTTGTTTCCAAGAAGGTCTTTCGCAAATATTTTTCACCCATTTAACAACATTGGGTCTTTTAGCATCATAATATATATCTTTAATGCTATTTTTATGAATATTAATAAAGAGATTAGGCACATGACAGAGATCGGCCAAAGAAAATTCGCCAATCAAATAATCTTTTCCCTCGAGCAATTTTTCATAGATATCCAATGTCTGTTCAATTTTTTCCTTTGATTCTTTAATCTTTTCAGCATTAGCTTCTTTACCTTGATACTTGGTAACAATGACTTCTTCATAATTAATAGCTGTTGATGATATTTCAAAATATAAACTTTCGACCGATAAGTATTGTTCAACCAAAGCGGCCTTTTGTATATCTTTTGGAATCAAAATTGTAGAATTCTTGGTTCCTTGGTATTTGTTTACGAGATAACGACAGATTGCACGTGATTCGTAGAGTGTAAAACCGTCATCAATTATTACTGGAATTTTCCCACTATTAATATAACAATGATAAATGATAATAATTAATTTAAATTTGGAAGAAAAAATTAATAGAGGAAATTTAATAAGACATCTAAAAGATTGCTTACAATGGATTTTTCGTGGCAAGATATTCAGGCGATTTAATATATTCCATTCCAGTAATTTGTTCATATTCATATTCTAGACCTAATGCTTCAAGTGTAAATAATACTCTAAGAACAGGAGACGATAAATAATGCCCGATAACTTTAATACCCATTTTTTAAATTGATTTGGATGAGGAAATTCTTGTGTGTATTTATATCTGAAAAAAATACCCAAATATTAAAATATATTATTTTTCCAGAAAATTTTTTTTTTTTTTCAATACATAATAATATAATTCGTAACACGGTACGCGGTGAAATAGTTTAACAGAGGAAAGAAAATTCTCCATATACTAATATTTTTTTGCCATTATTATACTTGTATGAGGGAGATCCCGGATAATTCTAATTGAAGTGTAGGCTTTAAGTGGGTAGAAATTTTTGCTCAAATCGCATGAAAATCATGGGTAAAGGTTCAAGCATGGAGCATGCCAGACAAAGTGAGCACTTGGATTACCAAGGATTTCAGGGATCAAACATTAGTCATCACCTGTTTGTTATCCTAAGTGATATAGAGAACTAATAAAAATAATAATATGAAGTTCATCTACGTCAAATCTACCATGGAGCCCAAGGATTACTGCATTATTAGAAGTATTTTGAAGAATAATAAGGGGAAAAGATGCACCTGATGTTTTTAAAAAAATACTCAGACATTGGAAGCTTATCTAAGGAAATTTATGGATCAATAAATAAATCGGAGATTATTTACGAAAGAAAATCGGAACACAGAAATATTGATCAAGAATTCGAGCCAGTCCAATTTGATATTGTCACTGTAATTAACCAAGAAAACGATTAACTCACTGAAGGAATTCTAAAGTGTAACGGACCTTTAATTCTTAGATTCTATTTAAACGAAAGAATTTAAACGATTTTATTATTTTAGAAATAACTTGAAAATAATTCTACACGGAAGGTTCAAATAATGTTTAAGGAATACATTTAATTAGAACA